TTGGACCTAGAGATAATTCTGAATAAATATTTTTATCCCTGTGAAACATTTTTACTCCTGATACCATAAAATCTATTTACTCAAACTCTTTTGAAAAGGAAGGTCAGTAAAGCACTGCACTTGCCCAAAGTGTAGAAGGTCCAATCAATCACATATCAATCTGCCTTTTTTAACAGTCAGCTTCTATTCAACAGGAGTTGCTGGTTTCTGAATCATTTACTTCACAGGGCACATATCATGATATTAAATGCCAATCGATGCCCCAAACTCCTTTGTTTCTAATGATTTTTTAAAATGACACTCTCAGCTAGGGTTTGAAAATCTTGCAGCCTTATGAAAAATATTCATTGATATTTACGATGACTGAGTTTGAACTACATATTACACATAGCACAATACTCTTTTAGCTAATAAGATTTTCTTTTGATTTTATTTTCTCCATTTACCCCATTCCATTTTGTCAGTGTAAAACACGTTAGTTTCCTATATAATGAGTATTTCAAGAGCAGAAAAATAATTACTATTTCATGAAAGTTTTCCTGTAATGCCAATATGAGTTATGTTCATATCATGAGAACAAACATGACCACCTTATATTACGTATTCATTGGTCACCAGTTTGGCAACCTGTGCTATTTATTCAGAACACACCACCAAACTCTGAGCTAAAATCCATGAACTTAAAATGTACGTAGTTCATTTTCCAAATGTCCTTGAGTCCTCACTCAAAGTCTTTCTACCCTTCTTGAACTAGAATTTCACCATGAAAATTGTATGACTCTGATTAGCTCCTGGTTTCAACAAATCAGCAATAAAAACATTTTAGGGACAACCAGGTAAATCTGACTATGGACTGGGTTTTAGACAATATTAGGGAATTACTGTTAATTTAATTAGGTTTATAAAATATTGTGGTTATACAGTAATGGCCTTATTTTTAGAGATGCTTACTGAAGTATTTAGGTATTTAGGGGTAAATACCATGATGTCTGTAACTATCTTCAAATATTTCAGAAAAAAAGAGAACATGGTAAAATACTACAATCTAAATTTTGAGAATATGAATGTTTACTATACTATTTCCTCTACTTTTCTGTATGTTTTAATTTTTTCATTAAAAAGTTTTATTTTTTTTTTTAACCCCATGACAAAGATTTCCAAACCCTGCCTGAGAAAGTGCAATCAGAAGGTCAGCAGCAGTAGGTGGAGAAGAGGAAGAAGGCAGATGCCATGAGGCATGCCGAGAGCTGTGAGGAATGCAGCAGCCTGACAGTAAGGGCCTAGGCACCAAGGCAATACAGTACATACAAGGCAAACCTAAGGCCTGGGTGATCAAGATAGGAGCTATTCCACAGCTATCTGGCATTACTAAGCAGCATAACAATCAACAGAGATACATACTCGTCTTGCTCTGTATTACTAACTGGCTGCCTAGCCATGGTATTTTTATCTTAGAGAAAAACTTATCTTGCATAAAAATCACACATAATAGCAGAACTCTACAACTGGCAGCATATACATATAAACTTGGCCAATATCCCCAAATGTCTATTTCAAATGAACTTTTATACACTGCTTTAGCATTTAAATAAGCATTTTCCATGTTCTTATTTATCACATAAATGGTAACAAGGAATGCATAAAGATAATCAACAAACTCCTTCCTTATTGGAAGCAATTTTTCCCTTTTACACACAGCACTGTAATGAACATCATTCCACATACAATTTTTCCCTTCTTTTGGATTATTTGCTTGGGATAGTACTCCAGAAATAAGATTAGTGGGTCAAAGGGTATTAACATGTCAGCAAGGGTAAAAGGAAGCATTCGGCTTCATACTCCACCAACACCACAAGAGTAAATGCATTTCATTACAACTTAATCTTAGGTATTGGTTAAACTTCTTCCAACACTACAAAAGTACAGTTAGTATATAAAAACTGTACATAATTAGTATATACAATTAATGACTTTGGACATACGTATACACTCATGTTATTTTCATCATAACCCAGGCAGTAAACATATCCATCACCTCCTAAAGTTTCCCCATTAAACATTTATTTTGGTAATTCAGTAGCTGTAAGTAGTAACTAACTTTAAATTCTAAGTAAACCAATTAACAGAAAAATGCAACATTTTTCCATATGTACCTTCAACAGCATTTACTCTTCTGTGGCTTTTCTTAAATCATTTAACCTTCTGGGAGCTTGTATGTCTCCATGAGAAGAGTGTATCAACCTCATTAGTATTCACGGAAGTGAAAATAAAGAGAGGGGCTATTTGTCATATACGAGATTGGTAAAATATCAAGACCAATAGGTTCCAGTATTAGTGAGATTACAGGAAACAGGGGTTCTCATATTACTGCTGATAGGTGTATCTGAAACTAATCTGACAGTGTATATAAATATATAATTTTAATACCAGATATCCAACTTTTAAAACTCCTTAATCCAGACATCCAGTTTTTAAGATTATCCTACAAAAATAAAGACAACAATAAGAAAGAATGTATGTTTATTACAGGATGGATTATAATAACAAACTAGAAAACTAGAAACACCTGAATGCTCATCAATATAGGAATTTTTAAATGAATTACAACACATCTATACTACAGAATATGAAACAGGAATTGCAACTGTTAACTTAAAGATATCTATGATATTTTGGTATGTAAGACAGCAATTTGCTTTGTGATGATTTTATAAATCTTTTACCATTTTTAAAGGAAAAACCCTTTCTATGTATTACAAGCATTTGTGTTTATCACTGTAGAGAAAGATGCAGAAGAAACAGCATACCAATAACAATAATTTCTTTAAAAAGGGTAAAAGGAAAGATGATTCCCTTCCTCATATTCCTTTATATTATTTTACTTATTTGGCTTTTTGGTAATTTTTAAATGTCCATAGACAGTAAGAATTTTGTTAAAGGAAGATTATACAAGAAATCTCTCAAATTTCTGTTAACTCCCAATTCTATGAAGTGAGGTTCATACGGAGGTTGCCAAATCTCTAATGAATGGTTATGTCCAATATGCCACAGGAATATGTAAGATAGTATTTTTTTTTGTTTTTTGTAAGATAGTTATTTAAGTCTTACAATAAATATAGTTAATACGTTAAAAAGTTTTGACACAAATGAGTAACTAGGAAAAAAGTAACTTCTGTTACACACCTCAGCCCTCCTTCTCCATTCTGGGTAAATGAAATGTTATGTTATTCATATCACTGAGCTGTGCAAACAATCCAAGTGCATGTGAGAATGAACACTGAACCCTTCTGCCACTCACTCCTAGACTCATTCTAGTGAACTGGCAGCTATCATGAAGAAAAGAATTCGTATCCTATGAGTACTCAAAGAGCAAAAATATTTTCAGTCAATTTTCTGCCCAAACAGAAACAGGAAAAGCATTAAAGAGCTAATCAGTATCTTCTCTCTCCAAGGGAAATCTTCTATTGAAAGGGAAAAACCTTTTGGGAGGAATAGGTCCAGCCTTTCAATTTATCCAAGCATAACATTTTAATCAATGTATGTTACAGTTCTTAAAATTTGGCTCTTATTGACTGAAAATATTCACACAAACCTTACAACATACTAGCAATGCACCATCGGCAGAACAAAAAGGCATCCTACAGCATGGGACAATATATTCTTAAATGACATATCCAACAAGGGGTTAACATCCAAAATATATAAAGAACTCACATGCCTCAACACCCAAAAAGCAAATAAACCTATTAAAAAATGGGTGGAGGATATGAACAGACACTTCTTCAAAGAAGAAATTCAGATGGCCAACAGGCACATGAAAACATGCTCCACATCCCTAATTATCAGGGAAATGCAAATTAAAACCACAATGAGTTATCACCTCACACCAGTTAGGATGGCCAACATAGAAAAGACTAGGACCAACAAATGTTGGCGAGGATGCAGAGAAAGGGGAACCTTCCTACACTGCTGGTGGGAATGTAAACTAGTTTAAACATTGTGGAAAGCAATATGGAGGTTCCTCAAAAATCTAAAAATAGAAATACCATTTGACCCAGAAATTCCACTCCTAGGAATTTACCCAAAGAAAACAACTTCTCAGATTCAAAAAGACATATGCACCCCTATGTTTATTACAGCACTGTTTACAATAGCCAAGATATGGAAGCAACCTAAGTGTCCATCAGTAGATGAATGGATAAAGAGGTGGTACATATACACAATGTAATACTATTCAGCCATAAGAAGAAAACAAATCCTACCATTTGCAACAACATGGATGGAGCTAGAGGGTATTATGCTCAGTGAAAGAGAAAGACAAGTCAGGCAGAGAAAGACAAGTACCAAATGAGTTCCCTCATTTGTGGAGTATAACAACGAAGCAAAACTGAAGGAGCAAAATAGCAGCAGACTCACAGACTCCAAGAAGGGACCAGTGGTTACCAAAGGGGAGGGCTGGGGGAGGGGAAGGAGGGGAGGGTGGGTAGGGAGGGAGGGAGAAGGGGATTGAGGGGTATCATGATTGGTGCACATGGTGTGTGTGGGGTCACAGGGAGGACAGTGTAGCTCAGAGAAAAGAAGTAGTGACTCTGTGGCATCTTAACTACACTGATGGACAGTGACTGCAACGGGGTATGGGAGGGACTCAATAATAAGGGTGAAAGTAATAACCACATTGTTTTTCTTGTGAAACCTTCATAAGAGTGTATATCAATGATACCTTAATAAAAAAAAAAAAACAAGAAAAGATATTAGCAATGTTCCCAAAGGAGTAACAGAAGGCCAACACTTGTGAGGAGGAACAATGCTCCCATGAACACCCATTGTAACAGGAATGTCATCATCCAAACTCCTTACTAGCCACGATGGGCTGATGGGGGTTTTTTAACACTAAAATCACTTTTGAAATTAGCATATGAAAAAAAATCAAGCCTTAAACATTGCTCATGTAAATAATTCAAAATCTTCAAAGCAGAAAAGAGCCCCATTTTTAAACATACCATGCCTACAGTCTTCATCAGCTTGCCCATAGTTTTTCTGCAAAATAAAAGATACAAGATAAAATTAAGTAGTTCAAGAGCTGCTTAAAACAAAGATTTTATCACAAAGAAGCTCAGCATTGTTTCAAAGAAGCTCAGCATTGTTTCAAAGTTTAATCATTAATGTTGCAAATTTCATATTTCCAGAGTAAAGCTAATTCATGGGCCTCCAATACACAGTATCCCACAAATAAACATCACAATATACTTCCCTGGTCCATTTACTCACACTCCTACTTCTCACCTTCTCTAATCTCCCATCACAAGAATCTCCTCCCATATCCTCATCCTCAGCTAATGACTTTACTGAGAAAACTAAGCTATGAGAATTTCCAGACTGTCACCACCATGTTTACCTGCTTCCTAGCACATACTCTGCCTTCCACCTGTTACCAGATGAACCATCCGTGTTTTTTTCTAAAATCCATCCTACCACTCGTGCAGATCTGCTCTATGGCTTACTTCAGGACACTCCAACAAGCCTCCTATATTTCTCCTACATCATTAACTTTTTGCTTTCTATTGGTTCAGTCCTATAAATAATTATGCTGTTATTTCTGCCATCTAAAAAAATCCTTCTCTTGACCTCACCTCCCCGACCAGCTACCATTCCATCTGTTTGTGTCTCTTTGGGGCAAAACTCCTCAAGATTTGTCTATACTCGTATCTTTAAATTCCTTCCCCCTAATTCTCTCTTACACAGTCTTTAAATCAGACATTTCACCCACCACTTCGTGGAAGCTGCTCTTGTGGAGATCACTAGTAGCCTCCATTGTATCCAGTTAGATACACAGCCTGTATTTACAGGTACCCATTTAGACACACAGTCGTTTCTCAGTCAGTTCCCAATTCTCACTACTCTATTCACAGCACTGACTCTGCTGAACATTCCTGCATCTGGATACACTTCCCTCACTTGGCTAACAGGACCCTCACTCCCCTTGTTTTCCTCTCATGGGTTACTCTTCAGGCTGCTTTGCTGGTTCCTCTTTTTCCCCCTACCTCTCAACACTGCCCTGAGACTAAGCCCTTGGTCCTCTCCTCTTCTCTGTCTACACCCATTCCCTTAGCGATTTGACCCAGGCTCAGGGCTATATATATCATCTACAAGCCACAGACTCTTAAATTGGTATCTTTAGCTCAGACCTCTCTCCCAAACCCCATAACTGCAAGTCTGACTGCTTATTCAACATCTCCAGCTGGATATCAAAATGATATCTCAAACTCAGTACGTCCAAAATGAACTCTTCCACCACGAAACCTGCTCTTCATCTACAGCCTTCTCAGCTCAGGTGACAGAAACTACATTCTTCCAACTGCTCACACACAAAAGTCTAAGTAAGTAACCTGTGACTGCTTTGTGTCTCTCACTCCCTGCATTCGATACATTAGGAAATCTTACTGGTTCCACCTTCAAATTTTAACCCAAACCACACCAATTCACTATTTCCACTGCTAACATTTTAGTCTGAGCCACTGTCTTCTCTGGCCTATATTCTAATAGCCTCCAAACTAGTCTCCCTGCATCTCCTCTTTCCCATTTATACTCTATTCTCGACACAAAAGCCAAAGAATTCCTGTACTAAGACCATGCCACTCCTCTGCTCAAAACCCCACAACAGCTCCCCACCTCAAATAAAAACCAGTCCTTCCGGAGACCTGGAGGCCCCACAGGATCTAGCCCTGTTATCATCTCCCCCTCATGCCCGTTACTCCAGCACATTGGCCTCCTAGCTGATCCTCAAGCTTGACAGCCATGCTTCTGCCTCAGGGTCTTTGCACTGCCTGTTCCCTCAGTCTACAATGTTCTTCCCCAAGATTTTGACATTCATTACCTCCTTATTGATACCTTGTTGATATTCCTTACATACCTTACTGATAAGACCTACCTTGACCACCCAATTTCAATCACAACCCCTTTCCTACCCCTAGTAATCCCAACTTCCCTTGCCCTGTTCTACTTTTTTAATGCAGACTGTTACCTTCTAATAATCTATCTGAAGTGTTTACTTATGTAGAATGTCTATCGTTTATTGTCCAACCTTCTACTAGACAAAGTACCATGAAGGGATATTTCTCTTTTTTTCACCAATGTATATCAAGTAGCCAAAACAGTGTTTAGCACGTAGTATTCACTCAATAAATATTTGTAGAATGAGTGAATAGTCCAAAATGCTAGATACAACAGTATAATTTTCAAGGTTTAAAAACACAGTTGCTTGTCATCAAAGATATTCAGCCATCACTAGCCACTTTACTCATCTCCTCAGTCCAGAATTAGGTGACCCACAGAGGGAATGACCGGCAATTGTCCCCACTCAATGAAAAAAGCCATTTTAATGGTTCAGCATTGGCTTATCAATAGTGTTACTTACGCACCAGTTGCAAAAATGAAGCAATTCTGTAAAGAAGGCTCTCAATTTTGATGCTCTCTATTTCCAGTGGACATGGCCCTGTGAAGTCGGCCATGGAGTACTGGCCAAGAGAAAGGAGGGCCTCTGTGCAGTGCTTGAGGGCCATTTCATAGTCCTGCCTCTTAAGAGATTCACATGCTTGTTCACATGACTTCTCAGCTCTTCTGTCTTCCATGACTCAGGGACAAAACTCCTAAAGACAGGTGGAAATAACAAGTAAGAGAAGGTTTTAAAAACTTATTAATTATAAATTCTAGCCCCATTCCTATCTCAGCTGGCTTAATTATCTATCTGAATAGTTACTCAACCAGCCTTTTGATCAAGGTCACAGCTGAGCAGCAGCTACTGATGCTACAAAATCTATACTTCTCTTTTATATTTTATGAAGTCTTTACTAAAATCCAAGCAAAATGTCAGTCATATGCCAGGATCATGCCAACAATACATTAAATTTATCAATGAGGCAGATTTATAAATGAAACATGATTTTGAATATTGTAAAGTGAAACAAACCATGAAGGCTTTTTTTTTTTAACCAGAAGGTGCAGAAATGTTTCATATCCAAACCTCCCAATTCCAGTCTTATAATTCTGTGATAGTGACTGCAGAGAATCAAAATCTGTACCATGTAGGATTTTCGCCACCAATATAAATAACTGGGTAAACTGCAAGTCTGAACTCTCTTAATTCAATTCAGCAAACATTTCCTGAGGCCAGGCCCTGTGTCGGCAGCACTGAATTTAAAGATGGAGCATGTCATCACTGCTTTCAAGAAACTCAGATTCTAACAAGAGCGGCAAAGCACAAAGGAACAATTACAAGGAAGACTTATTCCATCCGCCAACAGGCTTAAGCTGGCCTCAAAAGGTGAAGAGAAGTTCACCACACAGAGATAACAGAGCATATGTGAGCTTGTCAGAGAGAAGAGTTCAAGCAAAATCACCAAGAGGAGAAAATACACAACTTAAACTCTAGATGGGTCAGAGGAGGAGAAGCTATGAATGACGCCAAGTGCTACTACTAGTGAGGGCTTTATTTCATAGGCAATGGGGCATGATAGAAAGTTTTTAAATAAAAACAAACCTATCATATATAAGTCCTGTGAAGAAATGATGAGAAGCAGGCAATGCCATTAGTAAGAGGCCCCTAAAATAATCCAAGTAAGAGATACTGAGAATTCAAGCGTGGCATCTCCCTAGCTTATTAGATCACCTATATAGCAAAAGCAGAGAAGACCTAAAACCCTATGACCTGACAACCTGAGGATCATGCTTGTTGCCCTCCTGTCACCAGCTCTGTCAAGCACAGAGATTGCTTCTCTTGCCAGCTCCCACCTTATTCACTCTCCTGAATTTTCCTACCTCTCACCTGACCACTGGCCCTTCCACCTCTCTCCAGCTTACACATACTTTATCTGCCTGGCCTCTCCAGCTTTGAGGATAGAGGCCTGGGTCCGCCCTCCCAGAGCTGGTCTGTGGCCATCTGCTGCTGATACACTCCAGCAACTGAGGAGAGTGAGTTGTGAGAGGACAGCCAAAGACAGCAGCAGTGAGTGAGGCACGATGACAGACTTCAGAAGAGGCCTAGGCCCCTCCAACTTCAGAGATTCTTGGTATATCAAAAAATGTAGATACAGCAAAGGAATGGGAGGAGGAAAAGTCCTAAAAGGACTTCGGCATTTGTTAGCATTTGTTAAATATGGGTGGTATATACATGGGGTATAATAAAATATCCTCTACTTGTCTGAGTTTGAAATTCCTGATTTGAAAAATACCAAAACGTGGTTTTAAAATTACAGGATACTTTAAATGTTGACATTTAACAAATTAACACTTTTGTCTGTGTGTGTATGTATATGTACCATAGTTTGTTTATTTATTTATTCATTTATTTTGCTGTCATTAATATACAATCACATGAGCAACATTGTGGTTACTAGATTCCCCCATTATCAAGTCCCCACCACATACCCCATTACAGTCACTGTCCATCAGCATAGTAAGATGGTATAGAATCACTACTTGTCTTCTCTGTGCTATACTGCCTTCCCCATCCTCTCGCCCCATGTTATGTGTGCTAATTGTAATGCCCCTTATTCCCCTTCTCCCTCCCTTCCCACCCACCCTCCCCAGTCCTCTTCCCTTTGGTAACAGTCCATTCTTGGGTTCTGTGAGTCTGCTGCTGTTTTGTTCCTTCAGTTTTTGCTTTGTTCTTATGCTCCACAGATGAATGAAATCATTTGGTGCCTGTCTTTCTCTGCCTGACTTATTTCACTGAGCATAATACCCTCTAGCTCCATCCATGTTGTTGCAAATGGTAGGATTTGTTTTCTTCTTATGGCTGGATAATATTCCACTGTGTATATGTATCACATCTTCTTTATCCATTCATCTAATGATGCACACTTAGGTTGCTCCCATTTCTTGGCTATTGTAAATAGTACTGCGATAAACATAGGGGTGCATATGTCTTTTTGAATCTAAGAAGTTGTTTTCTTTGGGTAAATTCCTAGGAGTGGAATTTCTGGGTCAAATGCTATTTCTATTTTTAGATTTTTGAGGAACCTCCATATTGCTTTCCACAATGTTTAAACTAGTTTACATTCCCACCAGCAATACAGGAGGGTTCCCCTTTCTCCGCATCATCGCCAGCATCTGTTGGTCCTAGTCTTTTCTCTGTTGGCCATCCTAACTGGTGTGAGGTGATATCTCATTGTGGTTTTAATTTGCATTTCCCTGATAATTAGCGATGTGGAGCATCTTTTCATGTGTCTGTTGGCCATCTGAATTTCTTCTTTGGAGAATTGTCTGTTCATAGCTTCTGCCCATTTTTTAATAAGGTTATTTGCTTTTTGGGTGTTGAGGCGTCTGAGCTCTTTATATATTGGATGTTAACCCCTTGTTGGATATGTCATTTACAAATATATTCTCCCATACTATAGGATACCTTTTTGTTGTGCTGATGGTGTCCTTTGCAGTACAGAAGCTTTTTAGCTTGATGTAGTCCCATTTACTCATTTTTTATTGTTTCCCTTGCCCGAGGAGATGCATTCAGGAAAAAGTCGCTCATGTTTATATTCAGGAGATTTTTGCCTATGTTGTCTTCTAAGAGTTTTATGGTTTTATGACTCACATTCAGGTCTTTGATCCATTTTGAGTGTACTTTTGTGTATGGGGTTAGACAATAATCCAGTTTCATTCTCTTGCATGTAGCTGTCCAGTTTTGCCAACAACAGCTATTGAATAGGCTGTCATTTCCCCACTATATATCCATATTTCCTTTATCGTATATTAATTGACCATATATGCTTGGGTTTATACCTGAGCTCTCGAGTCTGTTCCATTGGTCTATGGGTCTGTTCTTGTGCCAGTATCAAATTGTCTTGATTACTGTGGCTTTGTAATATAGCTTGAAGTCAGGGAGCATAATCCCCCCCACCGCCCCACTTTATTCTTCCTTCTCAGGATTGCTTTGGCTATTCAGGATCTTTTGTGATTCCATATGAATTTTAGAATTATTTGTTCCAGTTCATTGAAGAATGCTGTTGGTATTTTGATAGGGATTGCTTTGAATTTGTAGATTGCTTTAGGCAGGATAGCCATTTTGACAATACTAATTCTTCCTATCCATGAGCATGGGATGTGTTTCCACTTACTGTTATCTTCTTTAATTTCTCTCTTGAGTGTCTTGTAGTTTTCAGAGTATAGGTCTTTCACTTCCTTGATTAGGTTTGTTCCTAGGTGTTTTATTCTTTTTAATGCAATTGTGAATGGAATTGTTTTCCTGATTTCTCTTTCCTCTAGTTCATCGTTAGTGTATAGGAATACAACAGATTTCTGTGTATTAATTTTGCATCCTGCATCTTTGCTGAATTCAGATATTAGATCTAGTAGTTTTAGAGTGGATTCTTTAGGATTTTTTATGTACAATATCATGTCATCTCCAAACAGGGACAGTTAACTTCTTCCTTGCCAATCTGGATGTCTTTTATCTCTTTGTGTTGTCCAATTGCTGAAGCTAGGACCTCCAGAACTATGTTGAATAATAAAAGACTTCCTTGTCTTGTTCCTGATCTTAAAGGAAAAGCTTTCAGCAAATTAACACTTCTAACATAAAAAATGTAATCTAATTGTGTTATTCACAAGATAATCCAACGAGTACTATATCTTCAGTCTCTACATGTCCCCCCTTTCAACTTCCTCTGCTTTCCTTCAATGGACTGAAATATCTAGTTTGTTTAATAAAACATACATACATTAATTTGGGTGAAATCAAATATCAAACAAAAATCAAAATTAAAGATGTCTATACTACTAGAGTGACTTTGCCCTCTAGACCTAAGAATGGCATTACAACATACTCACTTATAATGGACACTAGCGTTGATGCTACTGATATTTAGGCTGAATAATTCTGGCTGTGGGGACTGCCCTATGCATTGTAAGACATTTCCTGGCATCCCTGGCCTCAATCTGCTAGATGCCAGGAGCCCATCTCCCAACTTAGGAACAACTAAAAACATCTCTAGACAGTAGCAAATGTTCCTTGATGGTGGTGAGGGGTGGGGGGCTATAATCATTTCTGACTGAGGATACTGAAAATATTATGAAAATTAGTAAGAAAATAAGAAAAACTAATACTACACAAGCAAAAATCTTTTTATGAATGCCACACAGAGCTCAAGGTCAGGGGACATGCATTCTAAACTCACCATCCCTGTCATTCTCCAGCCATGTTTCTCACCAGTCCAGTCACTCCCCAGCTGCATGGCCTGGGACAAGTGACTTAATCTCAAGCATCTCAACTTGCTCACCTCTAAAATGGCAAGAAGACAACTGTCTACCTCCTATGATTACTGTTAAGAATATAAAATCATATTTCAAAGCACTTAAAAGAATGCCTGGCACACAGTAAATGCTCAATAAGTGTTAGCTATTGTAATTTTCCTAAAACTCCAAATTTTCAGTCTATATAAAGTGGAAATCACCTTGATTTCATCAATCAATACCATATTTATAAAAAATAAAATATCACTCTATGCAACTACTTCACCTACTTGACAGAGGAATTATTTTTGTCTGTTTTCTCCATTTCAATAAACTGATAATGATAATGCAACAAATAGCCACTGGAGAAATAAATGTCATTTACATGTTACTGATAAAAATGAGCCAACCCGTAAAACTGGCTACA